ACGAGAGTGTTAACGCAGAGAGTGTTAAGAAGAGGAGAAAAAGCGAGATAGAATGACGCGGGCGGGGAGGGAGATTAAATTAAACAACGTGAAAGAGACGCGAAGGCGATACTGCAACGTGAACAAGCACACTAGCGGTCTTTTGCTCGCGATTTCGGATATCAGCGTCTCGAAAATGGAGAGAAATCGAGAAGCACGCGCTATGAAGATGCATGAGATCGCTCACTTTCTAATTTTGAACCCTCCGCATCGGATCGGCTTACGATGGGATCGAGCTGGCCACTGTGTCCCTCTGTTTATAAGCTCTACGGTTGGGGATATATGTATGCATTACAGTTGGAATTTGTCAAGTTACCGGAGGGAATTATGCCCCCCTGAGCACTCGAAAAGGAAGATGCGTAAACATAACTTCTATTGAAATAAAACGTATAAACATTGGGACGCAATGCCATACCTGAAATTGTTTTTCTATATCCTTTTTTGCACGAATTAACGCAGATAATCTTTCAATATATAAATTGAGAATCCAGAGAATTTAAAGTAAACATCGTTTTATCTTTACGGTTTTAACAAGGTCTCGATTAGACTAATCATTGGGATATTTAATACTAAATATAGAAGCAGTTACAGATAACGAACGATGTTTTATCTCAGAATATTTTTCGATAGTTTTGGATTTCATATTTTGAAAGTGCATTCCGTCGCAGAAGCTTAAATGACGCGACGTGCGGGATAGCTAATAATAGGAGGGTTGGCTTGCCGGCCAACAACGCTAGTTTGCAGTCGCGACCGAGTCCTATAACTTCCGTTAATATCGCGGTGGACTTGGTGCTCCTGGTGCATCTTGGTGCTCGCACATCCGCGTATGAGAATATTAAGACGACACGCATTCCACTACGACGGTTTCCGCGATTTCAGCGGGAGATTAAGCGGGAGAGAAGATCTCGAAAGTGCACCGCGCTTACTACACGCGAACTAAATGTAGTAACAGAACCCTAAAAATACTTAGATACTTTAGAATATGGACGTTATTATCGAAAGATATAAAAGAATCATCATCGTTTTTATCCAATATTTATCAATGTATTTGTGACGATTGATCATAAATATTCTTAAAATATAAATTTAAAAATTCCGATAATTTAAAAATTCCGATATCCGATGTTAAATTTAATTATAATATATTTTAATTTTTATGTACGTGATTTATATTTTTAATTTATTACTTAGATGTTCGTACAAATTTAATTAATGTGAATACGCGATGGAAAAATATGCAGACTTTTACACTGCAATTTACATATGTGCAATTTATATGTGTTGCTCTTTTTCCAAGTGATATATTCCCATAACTTTAACGGTACGTGTCGTTGCCCGATAATCGCGACAAAACATCGCGGTAACAAATTTCGGCGAGCATTATTCGATTGGCAGAAGTTGCCTAACAGGCGTGCTATATATCCATTCGACCATGATCTTGCATGACCACTTGCGCGGACTTTATTTTGCATAACCATAAACCGGCGCTACTTCATCGACTGGCAGATGGTTTGCCATACGATGTACCTGAAGACCTTTCCTTGCGTGCCGATATGGAGAAAGTCAAGTGCGCGGGTCGAAGAGATCGCATTCACATGCTCATATCATATGTCAGATAGAAAACGGATTATATTCAGATATAAATATTGCTGCATCAATTATACCGTGATCATCGATTATACTAATCAGAAAAATCATAATAACATAATCATAAAATCAATGGAGAATTTTAATGTATTTAAATATAAAAATTTTTATTTTTAAGAATTTCTCGTAAAAATTCCTTTATTCCTTTATATCCTTTATTAAGTTTATTTTGAAATTAATATATATATATATTTTTTTCACGAAGACGTATAAATGTATCGTGTATCATGTTTATGCTTCAATACAAAAAACATGTCGTTTCATAGAAATAAACGTCGCTTTTATTATACATCGCTTAAAACGTTAATTTATTTTATTACTTAAAATGATAATTTGACACGCAGCTTCTTACATTTTTTCGCTTTGCAGTAGCGCATCTCGAAGAATTTTTATTTCATCTCGCACTTTCTAGCTCGAAATTACATGGGGAAACCGGTTGCTCATAAGTGTTATTTATCGATCCTACATTTCGCGTTCCCGTTGCCCAGTTTCATCTCTGTATTAATCCGCAGTCACCTATAAATTCATATACTCTTTTTCTGCGTGTGAGAAAGAGAAAAGGAGATGAGAAAGAAAGAGAGAGGGAACGCATTTTTATTTGTTTATTTTCCTAATATATTTCTTATTAAGATATATAAGAAACGTTAATACGATTATCGCATTTTTCAAAAGATGCCTCCGATACATAGCTTAATGCTATTTAAGCATATTAAAATGCGCATTGTAAATTATTATTAAAGTCTAAATGATCCTAATCTTCTTTATGAACTAAAACGAAACTCCTCCTTTTAGGTGACCACGGTGTGATCGCACGAGAAACCACAATGGCGGAGGTGGCGACGAAGAAGTCGATCAATGTAGTAAGTAGCAAGAAGAGCGAGGTGTGCGGTGTTCAATCTAACAACGGTTTGATTGATTTGGATGAGCTAACCGCGAGTAACACTCAACTAATCTCGTTGTGCGACGACGACGACGATCTTGTACTCACAAATAATACGCGTAACGAACTCGAGAACGACGATAAGAGCCTGCAGGAATTGATAGAGAGCGAACTGGCGCTAAGGATTTGCTCGAGCAAGAACGATGAGGAGACCGTCGAAGAGCCCGAGGAGGTCGTTGCCCAACCGGAGACGATCAAGAAGATTGTTCTGGATCGCCGGCAGGATCCCGTTGACATTAATGCGGAATTCATAGCGGCCGAGAGCGAACATTATACTTTGATCGAGGAACCGTATGGTCATCGGAATGGCCATGTGTCCCCACACGTCGATGTCGAAACCGTGAAACCAGAACCGGTACGTTTTCACGACGAAGAAGAGGATCGGGTATTCGTCGAACAACCGGAAACTGACGTCGCACCGATAATCATTCAGAAAACGAACGATGGCGATCAGGAGTCCAGTCGCGATGAATCTGTCGACGTCAGCAACGATATTGAGGATTGTCAAGCGGTCGCCAAGACTGCCGTACCTCCTACGGACGATCCTAGCAATGATCTCATAGACGGATCGAGCTCCCAGTGTTTTCCGACTCTTGTCTGTCCCGAGGATAAATATCAACGGGAGGAGGAACTGGTTCAAAAGATGACGGACGATGCGGATGTTCTTCGTACCGACGTCGAACAAGAAAGGAAGAGTGCAGAGGTCGACATTCCGAACACGTGGACCGAGCAGGCGCCGCTTTCAGATGGCCAGCAGACCTGTCAGTTCTCCGACAACTTTGACGAGGCGCTTTGTCCGCAGGATCGAAACCTCGAGAAGTCTTTTTGTCTAATGAAGAGTCTTCCAAGAACGAACATATCGATACGCTTAATGATTCTTATGAAGACAATCGAGTTGAGGAGAAGGAGGAGATTCCAGCGTTACTGATCCACGAAGACAAATCGTCACCTTCCGAAACGATCGAAGAGACAGATTTGAAACTGGAGGATTCTCGTTTATCTGACGACGGCGTTATCAGTCAGTCCGAGACGCTGTCCGCGGAGACGGCCAGCACGCAAGAATTTCTCGATACAGAACGCCGCGTGCTATGCGAGGAAATCGATCAGGAGACACCACGGATCGTGTTATCATCAGAGATCACCGAGTCGCAGGCAACAACGGGAATGATCCTCGAGAGCGAATCACCGGAATGTCTCATTGCGGAAGATACACAGAATCCAGTGGACGAGTCCTCGAGCGAATTCTCAGCGTCAGATTCAACTTTCATTGAGAAGACCGAGGTCGTGGTGTCGGATACAAGCGTGACAATCTTTTCGGAGACGAGACAACTCGTCGCCGAGCAAATCGAAAATCTCGATTCGTGGACCACGGTCGAGGAGGCCACGAAATCGGCAGATGAGAGCTCAGCCGATGCCAAGGAGCGAGGAAAGGACGCGCCGATCGCAGTCGAACGCGACGATAATGAAGCGACGAAGGATGATAACGAGGGAAAGCAGAACGATTCTCTTGCACCCTCGTCCCCCCGCGCGCCCCTGGCTACACCGGACGAGACGGAGACGAGCGATGTTTCTAACGCTTATGACGTAAGTGTATCTTTTTCGTGAATTAACTCGATGCCTGCTCGAAGAAGGAGCGACTCGAAGGAAAGGCTCGAAAAAGGTCTCGTTCGAGTTCACATAAATCGAAACTGTGCACTCGCGACTATTTTCACGGTAAAGTTAGTTAACGATATGTCACATGTCACGGAACTTTGTTGAACGATGACGTGTATCTCGCGTAACATTCCTCGTGAGTACAAAGCGTTGAGAAAATTCACAGTCTTGAATAAAGGCGCGAGCACTTTCCTTCGAGTTACTGCATCCGTCTATACAGGTAGGAATGATAACTGTTTTTACTATTTCGCGGGGCAACGCTCAAATTGCAGATACTCAATTGCTGCTTTATTTTGTCATGAGTGGCATCGTTTTTACCTTTTAAAAATTACCTTTTAAAAATTGCTTCTTGTGTGATATTGCTTATCATTATTGCCAATCAATCTTATAAATACCGAACGTCTGACTTTATATATATAATTCAGATTATTAAAATTTATGTACCTTGATATCGGTAGGGTTGCTTTGCGCTTTTGACGTAAAGCTGCGAACGTTCTACGTTATAGAACGCATCTCGGGTTGCTCGTATCCTCGCACGTTGCGCAAGAGAAATACAAGCGCCATAACTTAAAAGCGTTCAGGTTGTTGCTTGCGTCGGATAATTCCTGCGAGCGCATTGTGGATCCGATCCTCCTAGCAATTTCTGCAAGACTAATTGCGCCATCGCTCTATGTAACTCCTACGCATGTTTTTACACGTTAGGGCGATTAATCTCGTTTATCCTTTTTTCGACAGCCGGAGTCTGCGGAGACAAGCGATTCTCGCGAATGTCCCGCGGGCTCTCGTATAATCCGCGATATTTTCATCGATACGTTAAGTTTAGTAAATTTATGTTCCTATTATTATTTATAGCAGCGCTAGTTGCTAAAGGAATAACATCGACATTGTCGATTTATACAATTATCTTCTCAACCCATACCGCGTATCTTGAACAAGCAGATACAGATAAATCTGAATAAGAAATAATATAATTGATTTACCTTACGATTCTCCTTCTTCTTACGATTGTCCATCTATTATATTTTCGCGTGTAGTATTTTTGCGCGGTCGCAATGTCTCGACGTTATTCGATATGCCTTTCGCAACAACTCATTATTCGCAAAACGCAAACGTGTATTATCTGCCTTTATCTCCTCGATACCCTCGAAAGTACACCCTTCTATAATCAGCGACGCGTGACGATCGCTCACGCCACAAATCTCATGCAAATGCAAGACCTGCAGTCACAACGGAAGCCGACGTATCGCCGTGAATTTCGTATCAATTCGAAATATGGTGATTCATTTGCATACTCGACCAAATTGGAAGATATTTAACCCGAAAGCTCGGGACGTTGTTTAATCCTCTTATTGGCAATAATCTCTTAGATCCGTACGTTCCATATTCTGGGTATTCTGCTGAGCTCGATAATTATATCTGTAAGCGATTTACTTCCTTGCGGTTTTTATCATCATTATCTGTGTAAATACGGTGTAGATTTAAAGAAAGAGATAATGGCGTTTTTTATTGGTTAATTTTACTGGCGCGGTAAACGGCGGAAAGAATTTAAAGCGAAACAATAGTAATCATACTATACGAGTAATTATTTTATTTGTCGACGCTGATTTGTATTTGTGGAAAATTAGATCTTGTAATTATGTACATATATATTATTTAAGATATTAAAAAATTAATCGAGCTCTCTCGGAACGAGGCTATCAAGGCCACTTGCCCAGACGGATGTCGCTAGTTAAGGGCTGACCAAGATCGAGGTCACGTCAAAGTCGATCGTACGCCGCGCGCAATCTCGGCGTCCAATCCTCCTCCTTAGCCACTTCCCCCTGAGACATTCCATCTCGGCACGGTTCTGCTGGGCGAGCAAGACACAGAACTCGAGTGCTCTTACCTGGCCAACCGTCTCCACGTGTCCGGTGGAAACGGCCAATCGTTGGCGGCGGGAAGCCGCACACGCTGCGTGCCACGCTTTGGAGAGCATCGAGTTTCCTGAACCCGTTACGAAACGCACACTCTCCTCGAGAGAAGAGACGCTACGGCACCTCAGACATCTCTGAGGCATCACGCAGCGCGGTTGTTCGTTCACGTCCCGAGGAACGATCTCGAGGATGATCATCGATCAGGTACGAGCTGGACAACGATCGGCTTGACCCATCTGCTGGCACAGGTCGCGATAGGCCCGAGTGTGAGCGGGGGAGGTACGCGCACCAGACGACACGGTCGTTGAACAAGAACATTCGCCTTTTTTCCTCCAGTCTCTCCTTGTAATCTTCTTATTTCTCTCTCTCTCTCTCT